GGGCGGGGCTGTGGGGTCATGGAGGGCGGGGCTGTGGGGTCATGGAGGGCGGGGCTCTGGGGTCATGGAGGGCACAGGAGGTGGAGAGCTATCCTCCCTCCTGCAGCCTCTTGGTTGTTCCCAGGCTGGAGGTTATGAGGGCCAACTCCTCAATTAGGGCACTGGGACCCCTGAATCTCAGATGTGCCTTCATTCATTCATTCATTCATTCTGTCGTAGTACATGATTTATACCGTTTGGTTCCATCTAGGAAGTGATTAGCCATAACACACAGATGTCCAAAGAATAAATTTACCGAATTTTCTTTGCATGGGTGCATGTGTGCGTGTGTGCTTGTGTATGTGTGTGCGTGTGTGTGTGTGCTTGTGTGTGTGTGTGCTTGTGTATGTGCGTGTGTGCGTGTGTGTGTGTGTGCGTGTGTGTATGTGTGCCAATCCTAGGACTTGAACTCAGGGCCTGGACTTGAGCTTTTTTACTCAAGGCTGGCGCTCTACCACCTGAGCCACAGCTCTACTTCTGGTTTTTTGGTGATTAACTGGAGGTTAAGAGTCTCACAGACTCTCCACCAGAGTGCAGCTAGGTTCACCCTTGTTCTTAACCATACATAAATCTGGGAATAAAAGAAGATGGAAAACTAAGAGGTTAAGAAATACACATAAAAAGCTTTCTGCAAGGAACACGTGCTGTGGCTGTCCTAGATACAGCGCTTGTCTATCGTGGTATTGCGTAAAGATTGTCCGTATGCCTAGGAGTGGATTTACATTGTATTTATTTGGTTTGAATTGGCACCTAATAATAACAGGTATTACACAACCGTTGATTGCTCATTTGCTTGCGTGCTGCGGTGCTAATTTAATTCACATCCACCCCGGTGCTACATGTTTCCACATAACTAAACATTCATCATTTCTGTGTCTTGGAACCCTCTATTCTATCTATTTATTTATTTAGTCACTCATGGGGCTTGAAGTCTGAGCCTGGGTGCTGTCCCTCAGCTCTTCAGCTCAAGGCTAGCACTCTACCACGTGAGCCACAGCACCACTTCCAGTCTTCTGGTGGCTCATCGTAGATAACAGTCTCATGGACTTTCTCCTGCCTGGGCTGGCTTTGAACCGCAATCCTCAGATCTCAGCTTCCTGAGTTGCTGGGATTACAGGCGTGAGCCACCAGTGCCGGGCTATTGTAGTTATGTTGTATTGACTCTATTCTAGTTATTTCATAGGTAACTGTATTTATTGATTTTTTTTCTCGGCTTTCACACCTGGGATGTTATACATGTTAGGCAAGTTTTCTACTATTGAACTATTGTCCTACTACTGAACAAGTTCTTTCTATTGA